CCAATTTTTTTGTGCAGCCTTTTTAAAGCACCAGGAATTCCTAGTTACAACATGTTTTGAGGATTTTTGTGGCTTTTTGATATATTTAGTTACTTTATTTACGTTTACTTGATTTTTTCGGAAATTAAAATTTGATCTGCGTGAGTACGAATAATGGAGTTTAATGATTGAAAATTGATAGTCATGTTAGTGAGTGTTTGAGAGGCCGTATCGAGCGGACTTGAAATTTCGAACATCTTGTTCAAAAACATATCACGCGAAATTGCGTGTGAAGTGTTTTTAAATTCTATAAAAAGTAAAAGTTTCGAAAATCATGAAACTTGTTGAGACAACATATCACTAACATGACTATCAATTTTAAAAATCATTAAAAGATTTTATTCGTTGTCACGTGCGATGCTTACAAATTTCTGTTTCTTGAATAAAATTCAAGTAACGTAAATAAAGTAACTAAATATATCAAAAAGCCAAAAAATCCCTAAATTATAACTAGGAGTTCGGTGCTTTAAAAAGGGCTGCACAAAAAAATTGAGGCCGTAAACAAAAAAACTTTGCCGAAAGTGCCGAGGCATGGCACTCGAAAGGATGTCTTTGCCGAAAGTGCCACTTAATAAGGCACTTTCGGCAAAGAGTGTTTTAATTTTTTAAAAAATTTCCCTTTGCCGAAAGTGCATCCATAGGAGCACTCGGCAAAGAAATTATAAAAAATTAAATCTTTGCGAAAGTGTCGTGATAGAGGGCACTCGGCAAAGTATTTTTTTTTAAAAAAAAATTCTTTGCCGAGCGCCAGATCTAAGACGCTCGGCAAAAAATTTAAAAAAAAATTAAATATTTGCTGAGTACCAGATCTGGGGGCACTCGGCAAAGAAATTAAAAAAAAACAAATCTTTGCCGAGTGCCTAACAGCAGGCGCTCGGCAAAGAAGGCCGTGACCGAACGCCGTTTCGCGGACAACCTATGCCGAGTGTAGAGATTTTGCCGAGAGTCTGGCACTCGACAAAGAAGTCATTTGCCGAGTGCCCGTGTTTACCGAGTGCCCGGCACTCGGCAAAGAACTCTTTGTCGAGTGCAATTCTTTGCCGAGTGCAGCATTCGGCAAAGAAGGTCTTTGCCGAGTGCCCAATTTTTAACACTTGGCAAAAAATTTTGCACTCGACAAAGTCTCTATTTCGAGTAGTGAATAAAGACGAAGTGTGGGGATCTTACGGCCATCCAAATGCACCAACATGACAAGACCCCCGTGACATCGACGTACAACTCGACACGTGAAGGTTCAAGCCAAACGAGCTTTTCTTCCAGAACACGACTTCATATATATTTCATTAGGAAGAGTAGAGTTCACAACCAGCCGAAGGCGAGATGCCTCGAAAGAGCAAGGTACAAACAACCGCGGTGGGCGTAACAGATACGCTCTACATGGTGAACGAATTTGCCACAACTAGGTAAAGAGCCCTAGGGCACCACTGCGGCTACCAGAAACAGTGAGAGAGCCGTAAAACCTGCAGCGATCCACTCGTCACCTTCCTCTAGCACGCGTCGTGAGACGAGGAGCACCGCCGAGTCGAACCCCTTGCACAACTCTTTAGGCACCTGCCGCCTCACGTCCATCCACCAAGCTGAAAGCCTCGCCCCTGGCATTGGCGTGAACCGATCCCAGCCATAGCGCGCGGCGCAGGAGACGGTGCCACAGCTCCCTCGCAAAGACACAAGGGACAAGCAAGTGATCAACTGTTTCGTCCTCCTGACCGCAGAGTGCGCAATCCGCCGAATCCTGGAGACCATGCCACTTCCTACGATCGGCCGTCCAAAATGCGACCGTGTAGGGCTAACCAGAAGAAAAGCTTCACTTTCGGCGGCGCGGAAGCCTTTCAAAGCTCCTTGGCTCCCAACAGGGAAGACATGCCAAGGAAGAACGAGCGGTACGCCGAGGACGCCGAGTAGGTGCCATCCGGCGTCCAGCGCCAAATGAAGCGGTCACTCACAAGCGGCTGCAGGTGTACCCCCTCCAGCTTTTCCCAGAGGTCGACGCACTCGTACAGCACCGGCGCAGTGTGCGCTCCGGTGATGTGGCGCACCCAGCGACGTCCGGAGAGCGCCTCCTTGACGGACACCAGCAAGAAGCGGTGACCAATAGCACGGAACAAGTGCGGCGCGAAGGTTGCGATTGGCCCAGCCGGCAGCCAAGAGTCAGACCAGAAGCGAGGCGAGGCCCCATTGCCTAGCTCGACCACGACGAAATAGTTGAACATGGCGCTTACAAGTTTCTCCGGCTTTGAAGGAAGCTTCGTCCATGGGGGCGCATCAGCAGCCCTCTTCTGCCACTCCCAACGAAGGTGAAGGGTGAAGCCGAGAATTCTGATATCCGGCAGTCCCAAGCCACCATAGCATTTTGGAGTGCATACGACCGGCCATGCAATCTTGCATTTTCCTCCAACCACCGAATCCATTCCGCACCACAGAAAAAGCATGGCGGCGCTTGTCAATTTGCCGGATAGCCCACGCCGATAGGGAGTAGGTGATGGAGACGTGCACCGGTATGGCCGACAGCGTCACCTGAGTGAGCGTCAGCCTACCAGCCGTGTTAAGTAGGCCGGCCTTCCAAGTCGGAATACGCTTCGCAACGGCGTCCACCAGCTGCTGCTCCACAGCGCGCTGCAGCCTGACCACCGATAGCGGTGCTCCCATGTAACAAGGGAAAGGCGACACTTGGCACGGGAATACCTGCTGGACCAGCGCAACCTCTTCCTCAGTGCATCGTATTGGAGAAATGAGACATTTTTCCACATTGGTGAGCAGTCCAGAGGCCCCGGCGAACAGGTCTAGAATGGCACGTATGCAGCTGAAGTCTTCCTGACTGGGGAGGAGGAAGAGAACCAGGTCGTCGGCGTACAGCGACATCCGATGTCCAAAGTGGTCGCCAGGGAGGGGCGAGAGCATTCCCCTCAGGTCCGCCTCGTGTATCATGGCGTTCAGGACCTCCATAACCAACACGAACTTAGTGGGCCCTCGATCAAACTAAGGGTTCCGTCGACCCTAACCTGAGCCCATCGGGCCACCACTTTCTCCAAGTTCTCACTCACTCTCCCTGAACTCACGAGTTTTGAAATAACTTGTTTATGATAATTGCTCGTGTTTGTTGAAATGTTAAGTTTGGACAATCCTGTTGATGTTTTTTCTAAAACCAAACTTACCAAATTTTCTGAGCTCGCTGTCTTCGTGAGTTTGCAAAATCTTCATCAAGCAGTCTATGACGAGGCGAGTCCATTGTCCACTAAGTGGGGCATAGGGAGGGTTATACCTGAGCAAACTGAGCCCAGCCTGGCCTGGGCCACGGGCTGGCCCGAGCCCGACGAGTTTTAGCCCGCCCACGAGCCTTACTAGACAGGGTCTGGGCACAGATCCCGCTGCCCAGAGAAATTTTCTTGGCCCGAACCCGGCCTGAAACACTGTTTTTGCTATTTTACACCGTAAAATGCGTGGGCGGGCCTCCCAGGGGACCGGGCCCAGCCCGAGAAATTAGGCCTGACCTGCCCAGTGGGACGGTCATGCGCGGGATTTTTTCGGTCCGAAATAATCGGGCCTTTTTTTGGCCCGGCCCAAACCTAGGCCGGCCTGCAAAATGCTTCAGGTCTAGGAAGGGTGTTCGTAGCGGCACACCTAGATCCACCGACTCGGTGTGTTGTGTTGACATCTGTTGTCTTCCTAGAAGAACACAACACCCCAATGAAGCGCCAACCGCGATCCGGCTGATAGCGAGTGAGGCTGCAAACTCTTTTAGCGTTAGGTCCTTCGTGACGTCACGACCAGCAAGTGTGCCATCTGGGCATGGCTCCACCATGAACTGGTCGAGCGCGTAGAGGCACCTGGTCGGCTCGCCGCAATCGGCTCGGACGGACGTAGGGTCCTGTTCGTTTCGCTGAAAAACCATTTGTCACTCGCTGGTTGCCTCTAATGTCACCTACGCCGGTGTCGATAGAGTGGAAATAGAAAGAAACAATTATGATGGATGTTCGATGCTGACCAGTGTGATAGTGTCGTTGTCCACTCTAAAGCAGCAAGTATGTCACGTTATCCTCGAGTTGGGATGTACATGTACTCACTCCATTCCAAATTATGAGTTACTTTCTCTGTCCCAAATAGCGATGACGCTATAAAATATGTGCTTGTCAAATTTTCTCAAGTTTTACTAGCTTTATAAAAAATATTAGCGACATTCGTATCACTAAATAAATTTATTATAAAAATATATTTAGCTATTAATAGTACTAATATGCATTATAAATATTAATATTTGTTAATATATATAATTGGTCAAAATTAAAAATGTTTAACTTCTCGAGAAGTGAGAATTACATTCTTTATGGGACGGATGGAGTGTTTTGGCTTTTCTATTGCTACGTATCTAGAAAATAGCATAGTATCTAGGTGCATAAAAAAATCATGTATCTATAAAAGACAAAACAATTTATAATTTGAAGATAATGACGAGTAGCATTTCTCCCTAAGAAATTACATTTTGGCAGTGCATATAAATGTGTAAGATTACCAGATTTGGACGACTTTGTTTTCCAACATGCTTCACGTACTCATGTCACAAAGAGGACTGTAAATGAGCCACACACAGTACCTAATATAATTTGTGTAAAACGTCGCAAATCAAACGCGAAGCAAATTTTGTTTCGGAAGGTAAGATCATCCTCCAAGAAGGACAATGGAGGTGTTGCAAATTGCAATGAGACGGAGGACTCATTTTATTAACAGGGTGTCAGGCCGGAAATAAAGAGAGAACAATGTGGCCGGCAGCAAGAGAAAACACCAAGCAGATTATGGCAGCCAGGCAAAATGTTCCAAGTAGTCCAACCCATATATCCATCACGTTGAGCCACAACTTCTATAACAAGCATTGATAGAACAAGCAAAAACGGGGCAGTTCATATCCCTTTCTCTTCAGTCATCCGGAGCAGTATAGCAGAGATTTGGAAGTCAAAGCTCGTTGCAACTCATTTGATGCAGAGCGCTTTGCTCGGCCTGCTGCTGCTCGCCGACGTCGATTTCCGCCGACCATCCGTCGCCTTCGATCTCCCCTTCCCCTTCGGATCCTGTGGCTCTTGGTCTTTGGGGTCGTCGGGAAAACCATCTTCCGGCAGGTCGGGTGACACATGCCCAATGATGGCTGTTGCTGCTTCAGAGAAGAAATGGTAGTTAGACAACGGTGACTGAATTCTAAATCTGAGAACCGAGAGCACCAAACCATTAACACAGTTGGAGGTTGTCTTGATACTCTGCTATAAGACAAGAACAGTATGCATCGACAGCGCACAAGATACACATATTATATATATCTGTTACTTCCTGGCGAAAGCTATTAACCAGCCGAATCTAGTTTCTGAGTTCTGGCATCAAGTGACACTGATTGGTTGGTCCAGCATACTCAGAACAAGTGTCACTTTTTCGATACGGAAAAATACATCCTCAATATAAGAACAGATTGGTCATAAATAACAAAGTTAAAAGCACCAAGTAACTCTGCAGCGACAAGATGGACAAGTTATCTGTATTGACAGAAATGTGATTTCAAGATGCAATCATGTTGTTCCTAACATCAACTGATATACCACTACCCTATCAGAAAAAATGGACACCACTACTAGTCAATAAAGAATCATCACAGAATGTTAAATGGTTGATAAAGCACTCATGACAACAAGATTGCCCCTAATATGAAGTGCATGCTAGATTGCAAGCTTTGTCAAATGTGTAACTTCAACTAGTTCAGCTAATGCGCTATGTGCAGGTCGATGAAATCCATTTTCAGAAACAGAGAAACAACTCAATTACCAAAGTTAAATGCACCCAGTAACTCTGCAGCGACAAGATGGAAAAGTGTAATTTATGGAATAGTCTTGAATTCAAGCATCAGCACAGTCAAGTTATCTGTATTGACAGAAATGTGATTTCAATCGATCTGCAATCATGTTGTTCCCAAGATCAACTGGTATACCAGTACCCTCTCAGAAAAAATGGACACCACTACTAGTAAACAGAGAATCATGACAGGACGTTAAATGGTTGATAAAGCACTCATGACAACAAAGATTGCCCCTAATATGAAGTGCATGCTAGATTGCTAGCTTTGACAAATGTGTAACTTCAACTAGTTCAGCTAATGCGCTATGTGCAGGTCGATGAAATCCATGTTCAGGCAGTTGGGATCAGAAACAGAAAAACAACTCAATTAGCATATGTATGCGTCTGATTTTGGTTATGAAACTGCATTCTGCAACGTCATACGAACTCAAACAAATTTAGAAGGCATCCTTTCTAGCGAGATCTCCTAAAATTAGTTCACAAGTTTCATCTGACAGTACTGATGACTGCTCATGGACAAACTAAACCTCCTAAATCAGGGAATGCAGCAGTACTAGACAACTACATGTTGCAGAAACATTCATCACCTAATGCTGTTGAGATTCGAAGCATGTAATTACAGAACCCAGGTACTACTACCGGATAAACTTCTCCAGCAGGGATCATTTGCAAGAAACAAGCAAGCAGAGCAGAATTTAGTTTGCTGGAACGTAGTTCTTACCTCTGCCTGGGCGCAGCAGATTCCAAGTGAGGAGGTAGCGGCTGGAGCCCGTCTGCGGCAGCGGCGCCTCAGGCACGTTCACGAGCTCGTGCTGGTTGACCTCGTAGTCCACCACTCTGCGCTCGGGGACGTTCACGCCGAAGAGCCGGTGGTGCAGGTCGAAGTAGACCACATCTGGGTTCGCCGGGCACACGCCCGCGAGCACGGGGATCTCCGGCCGCAGCCCGGTCACGACGTAGCTGTAGTTGTTCCAGATCTCCTGGAAGCTCACGCTGTAGTTCGCAATCCATTGCAGTCCTTCCTCTTTGTCACCCATTCGGAGAGACCACATGGACACCGTCGCTGCTTCGCCGTTTGGGTTGGGGTCGGGGATGATGATCTCCACGTAGCGCAGCAAGCCCCCGCTCACTGCGATGCAGCGCTTGCTGTGGATGTCCTCCGTGGCCCCGCCCCTCCGGAGACCACGATCACGTGGGAGACGGTAGAAGTAGACTTGAAAGTCCTCTTGTTCGACGTCGCAGCTGAGGACCCCCCACGACAGGTCGAACCACATGACCGTGCTGTGGACGGCGACTGCACCATGGGGTACCCACCTCCGGTAGCGATCCCAATCAACCAAGGGGGACTTCAATGCTGGTATCGAGAACCAATAGCTGCGGTCCGATCTGAAGATGACGAGCTCTAGCGAGGGATTGCGACCCGTGTCAACCATGAGCTCGGCGATCCTGAATTTGTAGGTGCGTTGTCTGCGGGTGCCGGTGTAGCCGTCGCAGACGAGGCCAACGCTCTCGATATTCCTGAGCCGGGGGGCGGACGGGTACGCGCACGGCGGTCGCCGCGATGTGGCCACCGGCCCTGCGGAAGTGGCGCACCACGATGAGGTGGTGGCAGTTGGCGCGCCATGTGAGGACGCGTCTCAAGTCCGTGCCGGAGTAGGGCGCCGTAGCGAAGTGGGCGAGGAGGCAGAAGGGCCCGGAAGCGATGATGTGGGGGTACATGTCGGTCTTCAGGTCGTCGGGGAGGGAACTGAGGCGCGCGGTGACGAAGGTGACCCGCGGCGGTGGCGCGACCGAGATGGTGATGCCGGGTTCTCCCATGTTGTTCGCCGCCGCCGCCGGCACCTCGTCCACGCGCACGACGCCCTCCTCCAGCTCCGCCCGCGCGGCGGCGACCTCGGCTTGCTCCGCCTGCGCGGCGTTCTCGGCTTCCCCGACCGCGGCTTGCTCGGCCTGCGCGGCTTCCTCGGCTTCCCCTTCCGCGGCGTGCTCCACCTGCGCCTGCGCAGCGTCCTCGGCTTCCTCGACCGCGGCTTGCTCCGCCAGCGCCTGCGCGGCTTCCCCGACCGCGGCGTGCTCAACCTGCGCCTCCGCTTCCCCGACCACGGCGTGCTCGACCTGCGCCTGCGCCTCCGCTTGCACGACGCGGATGACGCGGGCGAGGATCATCAAGTCCTCGCCATCGGCGCTTGCTTCGCTTGGCTTGCCGCAGCGGGTCGAGACTTGGGGGCGATTCTGATTTGGTGGGTGATTCTGAAATGCCAGGGTCAGGGGTAGTTATAGAAATGGCTAAGCTATCGATGCTCTCGACGAGGGCCAGATTTAGTTGGTTAAACTGGGCCGTGATGGGCCTTTGAAGGCCTAACCGTCGTGGAATTTCCTACATGAAAGAAGTCCATTTGACCTCCATTTACTATTGAGTGAGTCCGATTTGCCTCTCTCAGTTAGATTTTTATACTCTCCTAAAGAAAAGGTTACATTTTAAGACTCCAATTCTTGAAAAAATCATCCTATTTACCTCTTTGAGTGATTTTAAAACTGTTTTTTAGCTGATGTGACACCACGCCAGCCGTTCTAAGTGGCGCCACATCAGCCGTGAGAGAGAGAGGTAATCAAATTTTCTCAATAGTATAGAGAGATCAATTAGAATTTTAAAAAAATGTAGAAATATTTTTTAATAAAAATATCCAAATATTTCTATGGAATAAATATGCATTTAAAAATATTAAAATCTAATTTAATATTAGAAATTCATGTAAAATATGTTTTAACTCGGCGCCTAGGAACATCGCTCTGGCTCTATTCAACAAAGTTCGTAGGAAAAACTTGATTATGCAACAAAGTTTGACTAATAAATGTAATAATAGATGGACCGAACATCTATTATTGGTGGAAGCACTCTAGGGCTAAAGTGGACAAATCAGTTAAAGACTTCGATGGTTTAGTTATCTACTTATGGTGGAATGTCAGGAAGGGCAGGACCACAGAAGAGGTGGGCAATGTTGGTCAAAGAATCAGTTGAACACTTTGAAATGACGACAGCTTCTTTGGTACGTCGTCTGCCATCTGAAATAAACCTATGAAGAGACTTAGTTGTGTACTCCCTCCGTCACTTTTTATCTGCCATTCTCACCTACAGAGCATAGTTATTAGGACCGGACCGAAAATCGAACCGGTGAGACCATCGGTTCACTGGTTCACTGGTCCAACCGTTAAGAACCGGTTGAGCCGCCGGTTCGATAGTTTGAGACCGGATGAATTGAACCGCCTACAAATACTTCAAACCGGTGTAATATAATGAAATATAACCGATAATTAGCAACATATAGTTGATCATATATACAAATAATCTAATAAAGAACACAATTATTTAACCATTTTCCAGCTAATCTAGCTACAATTATATATAAAAAATATGCATGAAAAGATAATATATATAGAACTTACGAATTGGTTCCAAAAAAGACTTAAATAGTAATTTAAATACTCACGGTTATCAAAATAATCTCAAATGTTGAAATAGAGTGTACTATTGGGAAGAGCTCATCAAAATAATCAAGATGGATATATTATTTATTTAATTAAGAGAGCTCAATTTTTTTGGAAATTAAAAATGCGGCGTCCAAAGTCAAAAAGTGCATGAAGCGTGGCAGGCAATGTACACACGCACACGTCACTCTCCAAACGTTCACAGCCCACACGCATCCTCCAAACGTTCACATGCGCAGGCGGCAGTAGCAGCCAGGTTGGGCCCAGTGGCAGATATGCACACGGGCAGCAGGAGACAACAGCGCGCGCTACGTGACCAGAGCTCCAGACCGGGACGGTCCAGACAGAACCGGCCGGTTCACCGGTTCCTTAAAAAACCGGCCGGTTCAACCGATTTTTAGCGGTCTGATTGCATGAACGGTCTTTTAAGTGAACCGAGCCGGTGTAGTCTCTGGTTCGATCTTTTACCGGTCCGACCGCCGGTCCGGTCCGGTCCAAATAACTAGGCTACAGAGAAGTCAAGCATACTCAACTTTGACCAAAATGTACTAGACTTAAGAAAACTTGACCGACACGCATACCATATCGATAAATAAAAAGGGACAGAGGGAGTACCTCTTAGATTTATCTAAATCCCAAGTCACCTCATTTTCTTTCTTACTCCCTCGATTCGAAATTGTAAGTCGTTCTAGCTTTTTAAGATACATAGTGTTTGCTATATAGTTAAATATACATTATGTTTAAATACATAGTAAAAGTTTAGAATACATCAACAGCACTATCTAAACGAATCCCTTGCACTACTATGTGTGTGAAGCTTCTCCAGGATTATAACGTATCATGTCCAAACAGAGATCTCGTAACTGGAATGTCCATTCATTCCCATGGTTATTATGTGCTATTGAACTGCTAAAATTGTACTATCACGTGATATAGCTTTTATTTATGCAAAGTTTATTACGCGACGGCCGTGTGCTCGCGCGATCGCGCGACCCACGCGCCCATGCCTGGCGGAGAGGAAGAGGAAGGAGGCGCCCACGCCGGAGAGGAAGGAGGAGGCTAGGGTTCTATGAGGAGGTCGCTGGCGTTGGAGATGACGAGCTCACCGGCGGTGCCCTCTTTCTTCCCTAACCCTAGCGGTCTTACTTGGAAGGTTTGCGGGAGGCAGGCCGGCCAAGCGGTGGGCACGGCGGTCGGGTGGTTAGGGGCCCTGGCGGCGGTGGAGGCAGCCGTGCCATGTCGGGACGGGGGCGTCGTGGCCGGAGCTCGTCGCGGCAAGAAGGAGGAGGGGAAGAAGGCGGCCAATGCGGGCGCGCTAAGGTTCGCCGAAGCTCCATGGCCGCGGACCTCTAGCAAACCCTAGCGCGCCACGGCGAGCGGTGGTCGGCGGCGAGGGCGAGGACGAGAGAAGGAGGGTGGGGGTCGAGGATGAGCGCGGGGTGCTCGACGGCGAGGGAGGGACGGTGGAGGAGGGGCTCGGGGAGGGTTGCGGGCAGCAGCGCCGGCGGCGAGGTTGCCACGGCAGGGGAGGAGGCGTGGTGCGGGAGGAAGGGGGCGCGGGGAGGAAGAGGGTCGTGCGACCGGTCACGACCTATCTAGCTCCGTCCTTTTATTTAGCGTTGTCATGCACATCCTTGTTGGAAGTGTTTTCGAAAGAACGCCAGTGGCTTCCAAAAACTAATTCAAACTTCATTGAAAAAAAATATCATCAACCTATAAAATTCATCCTGAAAAATAACATGAATAAATCAAACTACATTGAGTTTGGAAATGTGCGTGTGGATCACAATCAACAATAAAAATAACGTCGGCAGAATATATTATATATACAAACACTCGTGTATATAATTTTCTGTAGAAAAACGTGTCAGTGTGCGGAGTACGTCGTTGTTGTACGCAGATTAAACCTGTGCGTGGTTGTCCATGGCAACAAACTAATAACCAACTTGAACAGCTAACAAACTAACCAACTTGCTCAGCAAGCAAGCCTGAGCGCACACTCACGCTGTTGCTGCACGTCCAGGCTGGCACCGTGACGTCTGTAGGGAGGCACGAACCGGACCGGACGGATCCCATGGGCAGGCGTGAACCGGAAGCCCGTCGACTTGCTGGATCGGCTCATCGGCGCGCGTGAGGAATCTGGCGCGCGGACGACGGCGGTTTGTGACATCGATCCCAAACTACTAAACGTACGCAAACTAAACGTCATCGATCGTCGTCTCCGTGCACCGTGCTGCCTTGTACCCGTAGCCGGCCCGGTCCCAACTAAACGTACGCACGGACACGGACACGTACGCCACACAGACCTGGTGCTGTGTGCAGCCGTTCCACGTTTCGCACAGCACCACGGTGCATATGTCGACCACATACCGCAGCGAGCCACGTTGTCATCCGCCCGCTCCTGTAGTCCTGTCCTGGTGCGCGAAAGACGGCATGACGTCGGCTTCCATGCGCCGGGTGTGCCGGCCGTACGTGCGTTATTTTTCCATTCTAACATTTCTAGTTTTTGTGTAATAATATACAAAAAAATATTAATTTTTATTTTATTTTTTGCTTTGATGTGCGCTTATATATCTCTTATATATCTTATTTTAAAATCCCAACACAAGTTTCCCTTTGTAAAAAAGAGTTATTAAAAATTGTTGGCAAAACCTCAAACCTTACAAGGCTTTTCGTTTATAGCCAACACCCAGTTTGAACTTTGAACCTATACCTGTTTTCTTGAACTAATATTATTTTCAAAACCATAGTTTGGATAAGCTGTCTCGGCCTTGGGAGCTGGTGTGTTTTCGGGGTAGTATGCCCTACCTCTTCGTTGTTGTCAGCTCCATGCAACGCCATGGCGCTGTTCTCACTAGTCACCAGCCGCCAAATATGGTAGTACATTGTGCTGCTCTCTTGACATTGGGTGGCACAGACAAACCAACCAGACCACTTTGCCGGTTCAATACCCGTTTATCATGGTTACCGGTCGTGGTGGTTAGAACCCGTGTGGTGGTTCAACTACACTGGATGTCAAGAAGGGCTTGCAGAAGCTGAGTGGAAACCACCAAAGTTCTTACATGCCTACCAAGTGCCATGGTCCATGGATGCTCCATTGACTCCAGCCTAGTTGCTACTAGGAGGGTTTTGCCTTCGGGTTGTGTTGTTGTTGAATTAGTGGGAGATTATCTAGGTTGTAGCTGTAGTTTGCTTTGTGACGGTTTGGTCGTAGGCCTTATTTATTGCTGCGAGTAGTTTTCTTTTGTGTCATAGGTCGTTGGTCGCTATAAACTTCTCTTTCTCTCAATTAATGAAACACATGCTCAGGCACGTTCGCGAAAAAAGTTGTCTCGGCCTTGGAACACCAACCCATTCTAAAAACTTATAGATGTTTACTCTTTTTGAAAGTTGTCTGCGAAAACACTTCAAAAAACAAAAATCCATCTTATGTTCTATAAAAACAATAAAGACAAATAAATATTCCCAGTACAAGTTTGAATTTGAGCCTATACTTAAATTCAAACTATATTGTTTCTACTATGAAAACATACTCTAAAGCTGATTTTCTCTACAAAGTGCGCTTGAAAGTTTTTATGAAACAAAACCCTTTGGAAAAAATGTTGATTAAAAATATCCATGTTATATCCTCGACATGGCTCAAAGTCATGGAGCCCGTTTATAGTTCAAAAGAAAAGACTAATTTGCCTTTTCAAAAACAAAATGAGTTGAATACACAAGCTAGGGCTCAAATTTAACACATGTCTATACGAATGCTTTCCTTAAATAATATTATGGCACATCATCCATTTAGATTAATATTAATGTTGAACAGCATGCATGCAAACCATCGTTCCATCAACTTGTCCAGCAAGCTTGAGCAACCATGCACGACTGTGGTCGCGCGCGCTGCTGCGGCACGTCCACGCTGGCACTGTGTGA